ATTAAAGAAAAGTGAGATAAAAATTATTTGATTTGAAAATATTTGTACATTTTTATGAATCTATTTTTTCCTCCTGAATTGATTTATAAAGCAAGAAAACTTTATGAAGCAAGAAAACTTTATGAAGCAAGAAAACTATTAGAAATGTACATTTTTATTTGGGATAAGATGAAGTATTCCACCTAGTAAACTATACTAATTTAACATAACAGGATTGGCTGTGCAGAAAACAACAAAAAACCTGTATAAATAGGTAACTTTGACTTTATAACTTAAAAAGGCAGTTTATTTTCTCACAGAACATATTTATTTAGGGTCATGGAAATATGTATTGAAAATGAATTCTATGCTAATCAAATCAGATTTTTAGGTATGCCCCATAACATAGGTCAGTACCGTACACAAGATTTATATAAATTAAGCTTCACATGTTAACTGAAAATATGTATTGTATAAAATGATTATTGTATAAAATGATTTACACAATAATTTTGTTACAAATTGTAATTAAAATTAAAAATAATGCAACTGAAAAAATAGATTAAAAAGAAAGCATAGAAAATAAAAAATAGAAAGTCATAGAAAACAAAAAAAAAATAATATTGTGAAGAAAAAGAAAAGAAATATATAAAGAAGTGATTTCACCTTCCTCATAATTATAATTTTTTCTAATAACTTAGCATCTTCTCTTAAAATACAATAAATGATACCTTCTTCCCATAACTTCTGCTCTTAACTTAACTAATCCTTAAAACCTTGTCATCCTAATTTTAGCAAAAGTCCATCAAGGGTTACCAGAAATAAGAACATATATATTTTAAGCTTGGTCAAATAAACCAACTTTCTTTTACTTCTTCCCTTTTACTTCTAAAAATCTTAATTTTTAGTCCCTCCAACTAATGTAGAACTTGATTTCTTTTCATTTCTTCTTTGTCCTTTCTCATTAAATTCTTCAAATCTTCAATAAGTCTTTTGTAAATCCCATATAGGAAATTATTTAGGTCGCTGTTTGTTTTTTGTAAATATCCCTTTTAATTATTAATATACTGTACAAGCCAGCTTCTTTTGTATATCCAGTATAAAATCTTTTTCTATGTCATTCTTATAGCCTGTCATTTTTAAATCCATTTTCACATCAGTCTCAATCATGTCAGATAATACTTGTTCCTCTTCAGTAGGATCTTTTTATCTACCTATAGAGATAGATACACTTAAAATTAACTTTCCATTGATCAAAATATCTTTCAATATGTCCAATTTTGCCTCATTGTAAATCAAAATTGAATGTTCTTCTCCTTTAATTATAATGTTTAGTTCCCTTCAGAGTTTCCAATTTTTAAACCTTATTTTTTTTAAAAAAAAAAATCAAAACAAAGGCATTTTCCCATGGAAAGAATTATTTAAAATTCTTTAAAATTAATTCCAAAATCTTATTTCAAATTTATCTGGTCCCTTAGTCCAATTGTATCTTTTTAAAATCAAAGTTTTGATCACCCTTTTGCTGTTTATTGGAGAAAAAATTAAGTTCTTAAACTTGTTGTTAAAACTTCTTTTGTTAAGGATTGAATAAAACTCTCCCACGACTGGAAAACCTATCAGTATTCCTAATAGCTGAAAAGCTACTAACAAGCAATTTCTGAAAGTGAATAGAAAAGAAAATATGCAAACTTAAGTGTCATTTCAAAGGTGCCAACCATGGTTTGAACAAGATCGTTATTCACTGGTCTTCCAGAGCTCTAAACCCACTAGAGCAGGGGTGTCAGACTCGCAACATCATGTGACGTGTCATGACGTATCACAACTTTTTTTCCATTGCTGGCAATGGGATGGGTGTGGTTTCGGCATAATGCATCTGGCCCTCAGGCCGGCAGTTTGACACTCCTGCACTGGAGACTGCTATCTTGTATTCATCTTGCAAGGAGCAGCTGACTGGAGCACTTATGGTGATCTCCTTGTCCAGAGAGGAATTATTTCAGTCTACTTGCGGACTTTTCATTCCTTTTCATTTGTCAGTTCTACTTTTTGCAAAGTTGCCTTTAATATCATTTTTTCCCCTGGAAGTCCCATAAAATGATCAAATCCTAATAGTTGCCATGTCTTTCACTGGATCATGCTATTAGGTTGTCGTAACAAAAGAAACCATGCAATTAGCAATCTAATAGCAAAAATGCCACTGAGTGCTCAGTAGGCTCTAGATATTAGGATCCTAGCAACTTTGCTAAGGATACACAGTATTGCTGTGTATAATAGATAATAAAGCAGATAATGGGGCAGATTTTTAATTTGGAATTGGCAGCATCTATAAAACCTTGGAAAAGAAAATTTGGCAACCAAAATGCAGTAAAAGAGAACATGATTATTGGAAAGAGAAAAAGATTAAGTGTACCTCAAGCTGTGCGTGACCTTTTATAATTACAGGTAATTATAGATACATATAATTTTCTTGGCAACAATATAGAACTAGTTTGTCATTTTTTTGTGACTTTTTTGGGGGAGGAAGGCTTTTCAGTGTGGTCTACAGCCTTGAGATTTCCTGTAGATTCCTAGATTGCTTACATTTCAAGATAAGTCAAAGCTAGCTGAGTCCATGTTATCTTTAAAGGAAAAATCTGCCAGCCAAAATATTCCTGAAATTAGTGGTTAAGAGAAAGGAATATTTTGTCAGAACCAGAGGCTCGCCAGCAAGTGGTCTGACTGTAGCCAGGGAGAAAGCCCTATCTTCCTCAAATCCCCCCCCTTTTTTGCTGGTTTCTTTCATTTTTAATCAGTTTCCAGAAAAAAAATGGGAGAAATGGATTTGCTTAATGACCACACGATTCACTTACTTACCACATGGTTCTCTTAATGATTGCATGATTCACAATCATCATAAAAGTGGTTGTAAAACAGTCAGTTACGTGATGACCCACTTAATGATTGCAGTGACTTATGACCAGAATTCTGGGCTCAGTTTTCATTAAGTGGGAACTACCTGTATTGTGAATTGAAAAATAAAATGTAGTTTTCCACTGATTTGGTACACAAAATCTGAGAGATATAGCAATAGCATTTCTATTAATAAAGGCTGGGCGAATTGGGTAACAAAATGACAAAACCTGGTAGTATTTTTTCCAAATTCATCAAAACCTTTCAACCAAAATGTTTAATTATCATTATTAGTAGAGACATTACTATGTACCAATCTGAGGATACCTCATATGCACTTTAGACAAGCTTGCTTAATATAATGCAAATTTAAGAATGTAGCACTATTAATTATTATAGTTGGGTTTTGATGAATTGCCAATATAGATTTAAAGAAAATTTTATACTGTCAAGTGTTTTGAATAGAACCACTAAATTCCAAATCCAAGATCTCTTCTGATAATTTTTAAACACTTTCACAAAAGTGTTTTAATGTAATTGTTTTATATTGGGGATACTAGGTCAACACTACAGAAATTCAGATAAACATTAAATGACAGCAAATATAAAGGTATTCTAGAATAACCTCTGATCAGATTTGCACAGCCCAGATCTGATAGTTTAGCCCTACGCATCATGACCTGATTGCACTTGTCTTATTTGAAACCAGATTGCACTTATGACTAAATCTTCTATAAGATATATTCATATAGGTAGGTTTCCTATCAATAATCAAATTTCTGATTCTGTATAGGATTACTGATTCTGATTTTGGTCTCGTAAGAAGCTTATTAATTTTGCCTAGAACAGTTGCCATGACAATTCTTAAA